AAAGTTACACTGGACCTTTAAATGTGTTTTTTGTGCTGAATCAATTTCATTAAGTGATATGCATATATTTAATGCTCTTCCAACAGAGACCATTTGTCCCCAGTGAAGATGTTTGACATCCTTCCCTGCACTTTGCGGCAGGTTGAATCAACATGGCCACTTTATTGTTGAGCTGTAATCCCTCCCTGTCTCGTCCCCATGGCGTTAGTCCTGTGCGAAAGGAACTAGTGGACTATAATCGCCGCCGTCTCGTGGTCTTTTAAATATTATTGAACAGCACACAAGTGATTTAAAGATTTCCCTGGAATGTATGAAAGTACTTCTTGGGTTTATTTTCAGGGTTTGTGTGCGAGTATATCTATGCAGTTCTCGACTTGTGTGTTCCTTTTAAGATCTGAATGATAAACATGTCAACTATATCATCCACACCTGGCCTTACATGGAAAAGCCAAGTGTATAAGATAGTGGAACGTAAAAAAAGATATGAGAGCGAATGGAGAGATGGGACAGGGAGAGAGATACTAAAGATACACACAAGAGAAATTAGAAGTATGGGAGTATATCTGTAAAATACACAGTGCAAAGTGACACTGGCTCAACCAAAAGCTTGCGTTAGAGGACAATGTGTTTGAAACTAACTTTTTATTTAGACTGGTGCAGAAAAGACAATAATCCTCTTTAGCCCTGTCTTTAGCTCGTGATCTTACCGATCTGCTCTGCTACATGCAGCTGTGTGTGGGCCTGCGCCTGCGCCTGCGTCTGTGTCTGCGCTTGCTGCTCCTGCAGACTCTGGCTGTCCACTGAGATGCCGCTGTCACTGTGCAGCTTCTCTCCCTCTGGAGATGGTGTCTGATTGGCTGTGGCTGCGCGATTATTAGCTGCCTGTTTATTCTGCTTGCAGCTGTTCCACCTGGAAGGCACAGGTGCACATGTATAGTACAAATAAAAGTAATGAGTGAGAGGAAAGCATCGATTTCAATTTCAATTTCAACAACAAACACATATGTTTGCACAGTGGTGTTTTTTAATATGCTTAAATATGTGTCTTTATTACTATTTTTCTCAATGTAATTTAATTTGATTTGTTTTAATCATTTAATTTAATTAATAGTTTGTTGTGATTACGTTAATATAAATAACATATCACATACAGTAATGTAATAAAGTAATTATTAAACATAATTAGCTGAAACAATCAGCTAAAAATGACTTAACCCTTGTGCTATGCTGAAAATCCTTTATCTGATTTGGTGTTACCAGTCAAAAATGACAGGCTGGTAACACTTTACTTAAAGCCTTATATTTATAATGCATTATAAAGGGTTATTAAAGGGTATAATGCATTATAATTATTCATAATGTGTATTGTTATACATTATATCCTGTCATAAATAAGTACAACTGAATTTAAAATGCATAGTATAAGTGTTATAATGTATTAACTGTTGTTACAATTATTTATGAGATGCAATACAATCATGAGATACAATGCATTATAAGGTGCATTACAAGGCATAATTGATGCATTAAAACTACTTTTATAATGCATTATACATAAAGGCTTCAAGGGCCTTGTAAAAAATGGTTGTAAATTTATCATTATCACCAAATATTGCATTTAATGTTTTTGTCAGCTGGTTTCTTTCAATTAGAACAGGTTTTGTATTTCTTTTTGCAACACTGATCTGAGCTTATACACCTGGCATAAAAAATACATTATTTGTGTACAATTGTGTCAATATTCACACAAAAACTGAGGTTCCAAAGAGAAATGCAAAAGAAAACAAGTTGACAAAAAGATTGAATCCAAGATTCAGTCATAATATAGCAAAATGACAGATATTAAGCGATTTTTGACCGGGAACACCAGAAGTGTAACATGGTGGGGGAAAATCCCCCAAAAAACTATGAAAATTGTGCAGTTCTTGTTGCAGTTGTTCTACAATTTCAGCACAATGTGATAACATTAAGTAGCATTTTCAAGAAAAAGAATATCCTCTACAGGTCAAAATGACTAGAACACAGCATGAGGGTTAATCTCAAAATAAACTGCAAATTAAGACCAGGCCTGAATTATTCACCTCCTATCACTGTCCTCAGTCATTTCAATCTGTTCTTACGTCTTTATTTTAAGTTTTTTTTCCTCTCTGTCGCTCACCTCTTGAAGATGACGTAAGCCAGGAGGCCGACTACGACCGCTGCAAGGATGGGGCAGTAGATGGGAATCAGGTTCTCGTTTAGCCCTCTCCCAATGAAATGAGGGGGGCTGGGTTTGGGTGTGGTGGCGTCCCCTCCGGGGTTGGGGCTCCACAAACGGTTCGGATCAGTGACGAACGAACTGGAATCACTAGTGGAAGCGGGATAGGTAGGACTCAACGGATCTAGAAAAGAAAGAAAGACAATCACACATACATTAGCTCTGAATGACTGGACATAGATGCAAACTGATGTGGAAAACTTCAGCAATCTGCTGTTACATCCAAACTATTTATGTAATTTAAAATGTAAATGGGATATTGAACTGAACCTAATGAGTCTGTTAGTAGAAGCTGTGAAATTGACCAATGGCTGTCTGGATGGTGTTATATGATATATAGCCCTTTTCACCCACTAAAGGCACTATTTGTCTTTTTATCTTTCTTCCTCTCTCTATTGATTTGATGCATAATTTATACAAAGGCAACCCCCCCCCATAAATTCCTTCCAGCTCCCAATAGAGCACAACAGTGGCCGTCCACTTTTTCAGAGGCCTTTGAGGCCTTTGTGCCGGAAGTATTTTTCCTATTCATTTTCTCCATAATCATTAAAACCCAAATGAACCAGCTCTGAGATTAATCACATTACAAACTTTTGGTTTAAATCTAAGTACTTAAAACTATTAATAATACATTACTCATCCAGTGAAGTAATGATGCAAATGATGGTGCAATATAAAGCTATTGACTTTAAGTCATAAATTCAGTAAGTTTGAATAGAAAGCATAATAAATATCTCTATGGAGGAAATAAATAAATGGCTTTTACTTATAGAACCCAACTGTTGCACTTATACACACATACAACTTTCCTTTGTTTTACTGTTGAACTCTTCGCTCTTTCTCAAGAAAAGAGTCCAGAATCGAGGAGATTGTTATGGTTCATATCTTTCATGGCTGTAAAATTGGTGGTGACAGGGTTCGATCTGGCTCAGCAGGAGGTCTTCACGTTGCCATGACTGTCTAAAACATTCTCATTCTCAGCTGAACTATTCCAGAGCGGCCATATGCGTGACTGATTGAGCAGTGCTGAAACAGAGAACCTCTTTGCAAGAACTTTGGTTTGATTTACAAGAAGCTCAGCTAAAGGAGGAAATAAAGTTGAAGGTGCCGTTTAAGAACCAGCGCTCTTGATTAACATGGACAAAACATTTAGGATTTGGAAACTGCTGTTAATCTTGCCTTTGATCTCACCACAGTATGAAAATTTAGCTTAAGCTGGCTATTGACCAGCCACTATGTTCTAAAGCCAAAAATCATTCTAAAAGTGATTCCAGCGATATCGTCATAGGTGTGGTGTGGACTTCCCTATAGACCTTAGACAGGGTAGCACACAGGAATGAAAACGAGACTGTGAGGAATAGAAGTACAGTGCTTTCAATGGATAGTACTGTTGTTTAAACAACATGCCGATTATTCAGCTAACAAAACATCTTTCCAAAAAACTTTCAGTACACAAAAAACATTTTTAAAAGGTGTGAGAAGATGATCTAGGACCTTTATACAGTGTAAAGACTGCAAGTCTATCCCTCACAGCCTAGTTTTCGTCTGCATTAAAGGGGTCATAAACTGAGAAATCAATTCCCTTGATCTTTTGACATATAAGAGGTCATTACTATAAAAACATCCTGTAAGTTTCAGAACTCAAAACTTTGTTGTTAGTCTAAAAACAGCTTATATTGAAGCCAGTCTGCAAAATGACAGCTTGTGGAATGTGTAACTCTATGATGTAATAGTGTGGATAAACATCTATGATGTAATAGTGTAGTAGGTAAATGACAAGAATGACAAGAGCGGCAAACAAAGCTCTACTCAGAAACCATATGATACACTCTATTTGATTAACTTTATTTTTAATGAAGTTCCAGACCACGTCAGTAAAAGCTTGGTTGTGTGTTCACTTAATTTTACCATGGATTCATTTACAAACAAGGCACAATTCGACACAGAATTTTCAGAAAGATTGAAACTAAAAGATGATACTGTGCTGACTATATTGGATCAGACAGTAATGTTCTCAACACAAGTGTGAGTAACTGCTTTTATTACAAGGTAACTTTTGCTTTGTCTGTTATTACAGATCATTTGAAATGTACTGAGTATTTGTGCATTTTTAACCTAATTCACAGCAGCGTCCATCTGTGAAGAATGTAGGCTATCAAACATACACTACTATTAGCCAATCATGCAGTGGGCTTCTAAATTATGTTTTTTGATGTAAAAATCTTGATAACTTTATAAGTGGGGCCTCAAAAAAACAAAGGCAGTTCATGACCCCTTTATATTCAGTATGACGTCTAACCTGATTGAAGTCTCTGTCTATTATTAAAACTTAATAGATATTGTTATCATTACAGTTATCGTCCTTGGTGTGAACCAGCTAGAAACCAGCTACTCTGTTCCACAGCTACTAGCTTATTGTTTTTGCTTCATTTTATAGTCTATGAAGTGTCTGTAAAATATGAGTCATGTTTGAATATTAAAGTCATAATGGAAGTGACTTAGTTGTGAGCTGTTTAACAATTAATTAAAGAACATTGTTTTATAGGTTAATTTGCAGACACGCACACACAGTCTTCTTATCTTTGGCACACCTTTCAAACTGGTGGCCATCTAAAGATGTGCAGCAGCCCTCTTTCTTTTCTTTATCAGTCTCTTTCACTTGCTGTCTCTCCCTAAGTAGCTGTCAGTCTTCTCAAGACCTCTCCCAGCCCGTCTCCTCCCTCTTTCTTGAAGGAAACATTCATTTGTTTTCTGAACGAGTATGCACTAAAAGTTAAACGATTTCTGAAAGTGCTCTCTCTTGGATGGCTAAATGAACAGAAGCTTTGCTGTTAAGTGCTCTGATTAGCTGCAGTAATTACACTAGCAGGAGGCATTAACACACACGTACGTGCACACACTTATTAATCTGTCTTAAACAAGGATTTGTTATTTAAAATATATATATAAATAGAGAAGTTCTTCAATTTGAGGCTATTTGTTTATCTATGCAGGGTTTTTTTTGTTTGTTTGTTTAGATTTAATTTACATTTTATTTTAAATTTGTCTTTTCAGTTTAGTTTAGGTTTTGTTAGTTTTCATTCTACCATAGTTAGCTCTAGTTTTATAAAATGCCAAGTAAAATTGATTTGTATTTTATTTTAGTCCCAGTTATGAAACACTATTTTATTTTAGTTAGCTTTTTCCCAGGTAATTTATTTTTTATTTTTATTTTAGTTAACAAAAATCAGTTTTTGTTTTGTTTAATGAGAACAATGCTGAGTATGCATTCTGGTCGCCCTATAAACATAACTACCCATAAGATCTCCTTCCATGTTGACATAAAATCATTTTTTGTGCAGAAAAAAATGTACATTCTAGATAGAAAAGCACACACACCCCTCCCTCCATGCACAGCTCTCCCAGAACAGGAGACACGGGCCAATAATAATGCTTTGAATTTCTTGAAATAAGCATTTCTGATTATTCAAGTTCTCTCTCTCAGTCTTTATTCGCTTGTTTCTCATGGTTTCTCAACAGAATTCATGAAAGTTAAGTATGTGAATTACATCACTAACACCATAGAATAACCTAGTTTTAATAGCACAGTAACACCTGCGCAACTGGATTTACATACAGTGTCTTCTGATAGTTAGCTAGGCATTAAAGAACTTTCTAATCTCTTAAATAACAGATTGGAGATTAAAATAATAGTAGATTGTCTCAATTTAAATAACCACTAAAGACTGAGTAAAATTGATCTCCAGTAAGAAATGTGATATATAATTCTCTATATCAGTATTGTTACTGTTAACTCAAAGTAAAAGTATTAAATGAAGTACAATTATTTCAGTAATTAGAATATGGCTGAAATAATATATCAATATTTGATGAAACACTTCAAATGAAAAATAGAATCGCATGGGCTACTAACTGAAAGAAGTTTATGAAGAACTAAAATGACTAAAATTAAATTTTAAAAAGCCATAGGCCTATAAAAATATTAAAACATAAAACTAATAAAATTACAAAAGTACATTGCAAAACCTTTAAATAAATGCATCTAATCCATGATACTAAAATAACACTTGTGCATAATGAGTCATATCAAAGATGAACAGTGTTTTCTTTGCCACTGCAGCCATCTATCTGAGCAAGTGAGTGACGATGTGACAAAACAATAACACTTGGAGTGGGAAATGAAACCTGGAGTAGAGTTGGTGCAGAACAGCAATGCAATTCTTCGGGAGGAGAGGAGAAATTTAGCAGTGGCTCCACTCCACTCACACACTCTGTATCTGTATGTGTGTGTGTGTGATGCAGTAGCTGCAATAGAGGTCACAGATTGAAACCCGAGAGTAAGAAACTCCAGCGGCCTTATCGATCCAACAAAGGAAAGAGCTCAGCACATCTCTCTCTTTCTGTCACACACACAGACAGACACATGCCACTTAAGTCCGTATGTGCTGCAGGAAATGAATCATGGACCACCAGCGTGGAGAGAGACTGGTCATTCAGGCATGTGTGCCTTTGACTCCTACTGTGGTCGTTCTCATGAAAGAGCTTGTTTTTAATGCGCCACCCTCATCAAAGGGCACAGAAATGACTGACCCACCAGAGAAATAGACATGAAAGGGTCAGAGATACACAGACAGCGAGCGAGATGGATAGAGAGAAGCAGGAAAGGTCACGTATAAGGTCATTTTAAGGACAATAATGTGGCGCTCGCGGGGGTTGGTCATCTGTACAGAAATACACAAGGATCTCTATGACTGTGTGTGTGTGCATGTGTGACAGGGCAGAACAAGGCTGCTCTGTGCTGCAACCGTACACACAAAGGATGATCATATTATCTTCAGGACAGTGTTGTGGGAGATATTTTGAAATTGTAGCTTCCAATTATTCAAGCTAATAATAAAGTAGTTGAATTACAGTCAAATGAAAAAGTAGCTTAGTTTTCTACACTACAAGTTAATAACAAAAAGTAGTTTGCAAACTTAAATGTAGTTATGATTTTAAAAGTATACACACTACCATTTAAATTTTTTTTACTGTTATGGCAAAGCTGATTTTTTTTTCCCCTTTAGAAATCATTCTGATTTGGTGCTCACAAAACTTTTTTAGTATTATCAGTATTGAAAACAGTTGTGCTGCTTAATATGTTTGTGGAAAGTGTGATACATTTTTTTTCAGGATGTCAAAGAACAGTTAATGATACCATTATAAAGGTCTTGTCACTTATGATCAATTTAATGTGTCCTTGCTGAGTACATTCTGTGATTTCTTTCAAAAACAAAATCTTACTGACCCCAAACTTTTCCAAATGTAAGTATGCAAAAGCCAAAGACAAAAATAATTAAAAATGTCAAATAATGTGACATCTTTAAATTTGAAAATACAATTACACTAAATAAAATAAAATCAACTAAACTAGCAAACAGTGATTTGATAAGTTAACGGGAACACAACACTAGAGGTCACATTTCAGCTCTTTGCTTATTTTTTCTCTATTTGTGTCATTTGTGTCTCTTTTCTCTTCTCCTCACAGGAAAGAGGCTGATGAGAGTCACATGAGAGCAGGAACTGCTGCCAGTGAAGCTGAACGTGTGTGTGTGTGTGTGTGTGTGTGCCAGTCCTGACAGCACTTGCAGATGCTATATGATTTACAGGTTCCATCTGCAGAGATATCTCCTTATGCTACACACATTATGCTACCCCAAATACACAGCAGAGCACTTCAAGTCACACACCTTAAACACTGTTTTAGCAAACATTCACTTTGTAAATCAGATAAAAGTGTGTATTTTGTTGAAATTAGTTTGGTATGTTCATAAGTAAAGGCTTTAACTACTGTATGTGGCTGTTGCTCTTTCTAAACATTGCTCTGTTTTTTGAGGTTGCGGTTCTGGACTGCTCAAAGTTTGAGTTTGCCTGTGTGAAAAACATTCAGGAAACCTGGTTGGAAACAATCAATTTTTTGCTAATTAATTTTTTTTGCCACTGGACTTTACCTTTTTGTTGCCTGGGATGCATCAGGACACATTAGCATTTACACAAGAAATTCCATGCGATCACGTGCATTTTTCAGCTACCTCTAAATGTGGTTTGAGTGATCCAATAACAAAGCTGTTTGGACCCCCGTTTACACCTGTAGCTAGCATTGTCCATTTGTGATCAGATTACCTGAGACAGATGTTAATCTGGGTGTGACACACAGATGAACCAAAGGACCAGGGCTGACACTAAACCCCAAACTGACAGATCCAGCCCACCCAATCCTCGTCAGCAGCAGCAGCCATAATGACCCTCACACACATACAGCCCCAGGCTTCAGACATCAGACAGTCCCACCGCCCAAGCGCTAGCACACTAATGCAATGACACGCCACATTACATGCCCTCTCCAGCCATGAAAACAGAGCTTTCTCTGTGTGTTTAGTTGAGCGTGAGTGTTAAAGAGGTAGAAAAAGGGCCATCATTTCACTTGCTGGCCACAGCCAGAGTGTCTCTTTGGTAACCACAGTCCTAACAGAAACAAGCATTCACCTGCTCGCATTTTAGTTAGTCTGTGAAATATGAAGGACTTTGAGAAGGTCAATAAAGTATGGTAGGAGACATCTTGAAGCACTACTTGCTGATCAAGGACCTCATTAAATAATCCGAGAAGGTGCTCTTTGGTTGGGTTTGAAACAACTATTACGAAAAATAATTCAAGACACTTTTTCTGGTCCAAAAAAGTTAAAAAGCCTTTATTCACGTTCTGGCCATCATAAAAATGCCTAAAACTCTGCACACTGATGCATTTCAGCCTTCAGCCTTCCTCACAGTGTGTGGATGATAAAGTGGACAATAAAGTACATTGATTATATTATATTATAATATATAATTATATCATTCCACACTGTAAACTAAAGGTATAAAAATTCATTTGTGCCTGTATAAGTGCAATTTTTTATAGTCGATCAAGCTGATTTGTGATTTTTGTTTTATTTTGATGTTTTATTTTGTAATTGTGTGTAGTTTTTTTCTATTGTTATATAGCAATATAAAAACTCCATATAGCAACATGGAGTCTACACAATTCTCACAATTTTATATTATATTATATTATATTATATTATATTATGCCATTTTAGCACAACTAGTGGCACAACATGGAACTGCAACAGTCTTTATTTTTCTTTATATATTTCTTTATTTATTTTTATTTGTTGAATTTTTTTGGAACGCCAAATTTTTATAAAAACCATAAAGCCAGATGAGGTTTACAGGGATTTTTTTTCTCTCTCTCTCTTTTAAGAAGGTAAAAGAACATCTATTACCTGTTGTAAAATCACTGTGATCCACATGCCTGCTTTTATACATGTGTGTTTGCATGTGTCACTGGGTTTGACCTTTTGGACTGCTGTGACCTCTATAACTACAGGGCTTTGCACAGAGTATCCACACTGTGACCTTTAAACTGCAAGGCCACAATCAGACACATACGGAAATGACCCAGACTGATCCTTAAACACATGGAGGAAAGCAAACATTTTGACTGAGACTGAGAGAAATTAGCTGTTAGAAAGAGTGTTAGAGAGATCAGGCTCGTATACAGCCAAACAAGTTGCTTGTAGTGTTCATGCAGTTGCCCATAGTGATTGACCACAGGCTACAAATACTACAAGTGCACACTTTATGTGCAACTTAAATATGCAGAAATATAGTTTTGAAAAACTAAAATACCCATTATATACACTTTTTTTTCTTATATTTGTAACAAACCGTATATAAACTATATTTCTATCATTTTTAATCATTTTCCTTTTTAATATAATTTTGTTTTTGTTTTTTATTCAGTTTTTTTATTTTTTTTTATTTTATGCTATTATTTGGTTTCAATTTTGATTGTGTTTGCACATGATATTCTTGAGGGTATTATTCTCTCACCATGACACCATGCATCTTCATAGGGTGTGCAGTTCCTCATGAGAATCTCTATTCCCTCCTCGCAGATGGTGCAGGGCAGGCAGGGGTCCAGCGTGCTCTCCTGATCAGAGTAGGTGTCGTCCAGACACTCCTCACAGACCGTGTCGTGGGTGTGCTCGCAGCGTATCATCACACCATGACCGCGTGGACACACGGTGCACGGCGCGCACTGGTGCGTCAGGTCGCTCATGAAGTAGCCGTAGTTGCACACGCACACAGCGTCGTTCGAGTCGGTGCAGGGGGTCTGCATGCGCATGAGACCCGTGCACTCTATACACGTCTGACACTTCTCTGTGTCACTGAATGTCTCAGAGAACGTCTCACCTGGAGAAAAAGAGACAGAGGAAAATCATCAGAATGACAAGATAATTACAACCTGCCCGTCTGCTGTTAATAATGACCCCTCAGGTTAAATTATTACGTCCTTAGTGCTTTAATTATAATTCATCAGTGATGATAGTAATAATAAGATACTACAGGCATGGAAAAACTGAGGAGGGGAGACATGTGAAAAAGACAAAGTGGAAAAATTAGTAATCAAGGAAAGGAATGGTGTGCTAGATTGTGTTATAGAGATCTGTGTGTTTTCATTTCAGTATGGCAATGATTTCTGAAGTCTACTTGGCATTACTGAATACATAATGCATCTGAGTTTAGTTGCTTTCAGACCCGATATGAAACAGACTTCAGATTTCAGAATAGCTGTGCAGTCCAAAGGTTTTTCCACACCATCATCTCATTTGCACCTGCTGATAGATGTCATAACTATGGCTGCAAAGAGCATCTTTCTCAATGGACCCCTTATTTACAGGCGATGATGACATTTTTCCACAGATATTAACAGTGTGACATTGACGTTAACATATAGCAAACTTTTTTCAATTATGTACATCTATGACACTTTACTTTGTGTTTTATTAGCTCTGCCTTAAATTACAGAAAACTAGTTAACATTGCTACATGAGTCATGGAAATTCTGTTGTTAATTTTTATTTTGTTATTGGCGCAAATAGGAATGCAAAATGTATTCATTCACCACATTGGTAGTTTACCCAACTATAATGACTTCTGCAAAAGCTGGAAATGTGAAAAGGGTCCATAGAAGGCCATTCAAAATAATAGACTTTTCTGACTTTACTGGATAATTTTTTGCAAGCAGCATTATGTTTCATATTATGAAGTTCCAAAGTTCGGTAGTTGCCTATTCATTCAGTTCTGTCAATGGGGGGGGGTGAACTCTGAGCTCAAACCGAGCCTCGGGTTCGAGCCTCCATTGAGGACAGCGAGCCAAGCTCATTTACCATTAACCATCAGGACTGGATGAGCAGTCCTTGAACTCATGGAATAGATGTTTTGCTGCTGACAGTCGCAGCTCTAGTGAAGGGTTTGGGACTGTATGCATTCTTGTGTCTTGAATCAATCAGTGTTGTCACAATAAAATTTTTAGGAGAGTGATTAGTCACGTGGCATTCATGGCACAGATGATTTGCTCAAAAAGCTATGATTACCATAAGTTACGTATTTCCCAGTTTTTCTACAGCAGTTGAGCACTGATACAGGGTAAATGGCACTGCTAATGGATAGTTTTTCCTATATGTGAGTTTGAGATGCTGTATGAAAATAAAACATTGGGATGAAAAATTATTTGGAAAGCTTTAAATTATTCAGAGGGTTTGTGTGTGGTGAGGCTTCCAGTGAAATCAGGGTTTACTGTAGGACAAACAAAAAAAAACGTGTGACAGGCATTTTAGATGACGTGAAGTTCTAAGGGTTTGTAACGTAATCCCTGCAAATTTTGGGATTTAAATATCTGTCCCTAGATCTTGTGTCACTCTGATAACAGGAGAGGAGAAAGCAAGGATGAGAGGACAATAGGAATGTTTGTTTGGTTTTGGTTTGTTTTCACAGGAAGAGGAAGCGCTTTATGCTTCAACCTGCCCGTCTGCTGTTAATAATGACCCCTCAGGTTAAATTATTACGTCCTTAGTGCTTTAATTATAATTCATCAGTGATGATAGTAATAATAAGATACTACAGGCATGGAAAAACTGAGGAGGGGAGACATGTGAAAAAGACAAAGTGGAAAAATTAGTAATCAAGGAAAGGAATGGTGTGCTAGATTGTGTTATAGAGATCTGTGTGTTTTCATTTCAGTATGGCAATGATTTCTGAAGTCTACTTGGCATTACTGAATACATAATGCATCTGAGTTTAGTTGCTTTCAGACCCGATATGAAACAGACTTCAGATTTCAGAATAGCTGTGCAGTCCAAAGGTTTTTCCACACCATCGTCTCATTTGCACCTGCTGATAGATGTCATAACTATGGCTGCAAAGAGCATCTTTCTCAATGGACCCCTTATTTACAGGCGATGATGACATTTTTCCACAGATATTAACAGTGTGACATTGACGTTAACATATAGCAAACTTTTTTCAATTATGTACATCTATGACACTTTACTTTGTGTTTTATTTTGCTCTGCCTTAAATTACAGAAAACTAGTTAACATTGCTACATGAGTCATGGAAATTCTGTTGTTAATTTTTATTTTGTTATTGGCGCAAATAGGAATGCAAAATGTATTCATTCACCACATTGGTAGTTTACCCAACTATAATGACTTCTGCAAAAGCTGGAAATGTGAAAAGGGTCCATAGAAGGCCATTCAAAATAATAGACTTTTCTGACTTTACTGGATAATTTTTTGCAAGCAGCATTATGTTTCATATTATGAAGTTCCAAAGTTCGGTAGTTGCCTATTCATTCAGTTCTGTCAATGGGGGGGGGTGAACTCTGAGCTCAAACCGAGCCTCGGGTTCGAGCCTCCATTGAGGACAGCGAGCCAAGCTCATATACCATTAACCATCAGGACTGGATGAGCAGTCCTTGAACTCATGGAATAGATGTTTTGCTGCTGACAGTCGCAGCTCTAGTGAAGGGTTTGGGACTGTATGCATTCTTGTGTCTTGAATCAATCAGTGTTGTCACAATAAAATTTTTAGGAGAGTGATTAGTCACGTGGCATTCATGGCACAGATGATTTGCTCAAAAAGCTATGATTACCATAAGTTACGTATTTCCCAGTTTTTCTACAGCAGTTGAGCACTGATACAGGGTAAATGGCACTGCTAATGGATAGTTTTTCCTATATGTGAGTTTGAGATGCTGTATGAAAATAAAACATTGGGATGAAAAATTATTTGGAAAGCTTTAAATTATTCAGAGGGTTTGTGTGTGGTGAGGCTTCCAGTGAAATCAGGGTTTACTGTAGGACAAACAAAAAAAAACGTGTGACAGGCATTTTAGATGACGTGAAGTTCTAAGGGTTTGTAACGTAATCCCTGCAAATTTTGGGATTTAAATATCTGTCCCTAGATCTTGTGTCACTCTGATAACAGGAGAGGAGAAAGCAAGGATGAGAGGACAATAGGAATGTTTGTTTGGTTTTGGTTTGTTTTCACAGGAAGAGGAAGCGCTTTATGCTTGATGATCTTCTATAAACCAAGTTGTTTTAAATGCCTGGTCACAGCCATGGCAGCTCTTGCTTATGGGGGTCTCTGGCTGTCTCCCAACACCCCAGACAACTAAATTTCTCTTTAAAGGTCAATTCACACCGCACCAGCAAATGCCAACGAAGGCAACAGACACATTTGTCGAATTTTGTCTGATCAGTGTGTTACCCGTTTGTATCTGATGCCATTATTCGGCGCTTGTTTTCGCTGATTTAACGCGTTGAATCGGCATTTGTTGGATCTTAAAAAGTCTGAGAAATTATGTACTGTACTCTGTCAGCTGTCAGCGCTGGTCTGTGTCAGTTGTGTGAATTGATCTTAACAGTCCTCATAGAAAAGAAAAATGACAAATGAGATCCCTTTGTTTCTACCACACAGTAGTAAGATTAAATTTAGAGACTTTTGTCTCTAAGTTTAGATTTGCTAATATAGTGTATAATCAAAAGTCTGAGATTTTTCATTCAATTTTCCAAGACCACATGATCTCCTAAGGAATTCTAGGAGAAACATCTGAGACAAAGTTGACAATTACGTGAAACATAACTGAGAAGCCTCTCTGAGCAAAAACATGTTCCTCTGGGCTTTCGTGTGGAAACAGAAGGTCAAGTATTCATTCCCCCTGTTGCACAAAGCAATACAATTTGAAACCTGTTCAGACCAATTTATGTCCTGCAGATAATATATCATTACCATAAAAGGATCTGACAGATAAATCTGAACTATTCTATTGGACTTTCAACTCCTCTTTTATATTACAGCCAAGATCTTACAACAGACAGCAAAGGAATGGGAACAGGATGTGAACAAGACATCATAGGTTGAGAAGGCAAAAACATAATTTTTGCTTCAGTACAGCAAAAATGGAACTCTTTTATTTCTACATAAACACTTAAAGGCGGAATCTACAAGTTAGAGCTGTTAACACCAAATAAACCAGCCATATTTGTCTGAGGATGAAGATAATATCTGAGAAAGAAAGCGTTTCCTCACAGCGAGCAGCAGATACACATCTGCACATTCATGAGAAATGTCATCACCAGCACACTAATCTAACGGTTCTCCACGTACTGTTTAGAAATGACAGTTTTTCTTCTTTAGACTGGTCCGACATGCAGTAAGGGTAAGATATTATCAAGCTGAGGTATTCACACAAGCACAAGTGGGTTTCTAATCTCTCCGGCATGTGTCTCTCATGTGTGTCCCTGGTCTTTTATTCTCATGGTGATAAATAAATAAACAAACAAACAGAGATAGGCAGAAAAACATACAGATAGATCTCTGCTGGAAATGTTCTTGTATTCCTGGAACACAGGACAGCTTTTCATCAAACACCACAAACATGAAACAAAAACAGGCCCACAGCTGTTTTACAGAGGAATATTTCATCCGTTCATAGCTCAGGAGACTTTTTTAAAAATCTGCCATTTGTCACCCTCATGATGTTTCACATTTAACTGATTGATTAAAAAAATGGTGTAGAAACAGTTTTCACTCAGAAATTGCTAGTAAATGTAACAATTCATAATGGCAAGTAACACACTGAATTAGCCTAAATGTGAACTTTTGAAGTAGAAAGAAGTAATCCAGTAATCTTTGTAAAAATCATTTTTGACATCTGTTGAATAATTTAAATTGATCATTTGTTTATGGAAAAATGTAGATGAGTTCATATTGAAATCTCTGAGGTCTAATTGCAGACTTATGAGCAAAGTGTGACATAGCTGAAAATGTGTGATCACTAGGATACCATTCTCAAGAGAAACGTGCATCCTGAAATATGAAAAAATATTGAGACATTAATGACATCATATTTATGATTTTCCTTCCTAAACAATCTG